ACATCTATGTATTTTCTGTCATTTTTTCTTGTTCAGAATCAAAGACACAAATAGTAGACAGTAAGAATGTTTGCCTCTAAATATTTAAGACCCATAGGTAGAATTTTAAGAAAATTTATATAGAAAACAAAATATGACAGGATAATTATATGCCCTCTAATATTGGCTTCAAAAGCAAGGTTTGAAAAAACTAAGCTTGGGAAAATAGGCCTGCAAGTTCAAAGAGGTGGTTATTTTAATACTATATTTTGAAGAAACTGTATAGGAATAACTCATTTAGGAGAAAATGTAATCCCACATATGTTACAAAGGTTACAGAGTGTGTATGCAGTGTTGTAACAAAGACTATTTTATTTCCTGGAACTGTGGAGGACAATTTTTGCATTCCTTATTAGTCTAAAACTCATTAAAAATGCTAAAATATCTATTTCCAAGTATCCTAAGCTTTTTTCAGTTACAAACAAAACCAATTCTATCTCTTTGTTTCAGGGGCTAGATAAATTATCTGTGCTATAAAAAAGAATTTCAAAATAAATTGCTAAATCAGTTGCTGATGTGAGAAAATTGCAAATGGAAAGTTTTATTTTGATATATTTTCATTATATTCAAGTAATAAAACCTGCCTAAGAATACAACCTTCCATTTCATACTGTCAAGAATTTTGAAGAGGCTATTGTGTTGAGTTCTTCATAGCTTTCTCTAAAACAAGTTAAGGAAATTCAATTTAGGCAATATTTAAAGAGCAATATTATAATTTATATATTTTATCCATATATGATTCATAAGTGCTAGCTTAGTAGTTATAGAGTTATTTAAAAAATCTTAGTTTTGTGATGAATTATTTCTCATATTTTGGTGAAAGATGAAAATATAATGTCTTCATCATATGGGAGTAATTCTCAGATCCCTTGTTTACCCTTTAGGGTACTACAAAGTAACTATAATACATGAACACTGAGAGGTAAGGAATATTTAAGGGAAAGTATAGTAAATCACTTCTGTGGTAACCAACCCTGGTTTGAGCTTACATAACCATATATAACAATTTCAAAGTTACCAAACTTCCTCAAAGTTAAAGTCAGGCCAATTCTCTGTGATATTTTGCTTTCATATGTGCAGCTATTACACTGATTTTAGAGTAAATGTCTCAACACAGTGTAGGTGAATAAAAATACATAATAGTGAGTCATGACTCAAGCACATTAATTCCTGCTTTATCACTGTGTGATTTGGGAGAAAAATAAACATAGCCATTTTTTTGAATTATGAATCAATGAAATTTTTTATGCTACTTATTATCCAGTTCGTACTCTAGAATTTTATCAATACTTCAGTAATCATGAACCACAGAAAGTTTGTGGTTATATATCTATGGAGAAGTTGTCAAAGACATACAACGAGTTTGATCACTGTTCCTTATAATGAATGATGATGTCTGACACATGTGTATAGGAGGGGAAAAGAATAGTAGACAGAATGAAAAGAGAATAGTAATTCAATGTTCAATTAAAGAATCTGGGAAAAAGTCCTCAATCTAAGGCAGCCAACAAACTTGTTCTCTATTAGTACTATGAGTTCAAAGGCAACTACATCATCTTTTAGAACTTTGTTGACTCATGTGTAAAAAGTTAATGTGATAGTCTCTTTTACAGTTGTACTGAGTAGATATGGATACACACACACACACACATAAACACACACACACATACGCAAATACAGATTGTCCTCAACTTTGGATAGTTTGACTTCATTATGGTGCAAGAGTGATGCATTCAGTGGAGAATGTACTTTGAATTTTGAAGTTTGATATTTTATAAACTAATAATACTTAATATGATACACCCTGGAGATATTAGGTAGTGGTAGAAAACTGAAGTTCCCAATCAGCCACACGATCATGAAGATAAATGGCCAATACTCTACACTGAATTGTGTTGATAAGCCATAATTTTCAGCAGGTTATGTGTATTCAATGCATTTTTAATTTAAAATATTTTTATGTACATAACCCATATTATAAGCCAAGGAATGTGTCTGTGTGTGCGTGTGTGTGGGTGCGTGTGTGTGGGTGCGCGTGCGAGAGCACCCATGTGTGCACATTGAAGATATTGCCTCTATTAATACACTGTTTTTGTTGTGCTCTATTACCACATAGCAATTAAAAATTTAATTCAGATATTATTTGGTAAGATTTGGTGAATATTGAAGGAAAGGAGCCATACATATGTCATGAATTCATTAAATTTTATTTAGAACACCTAAAAGTGTATTTAATACTGTCATAAGCACTATAATAAATACAAAAATAACTATTAAATTATGAAAGTCATTGCAATAGTCTCTTGGAGATCTACACTTTATTTGAGAGTCAAAACATTTAGGGTCTCTTCAATTACATTGTTAAATAGTACTTTACCTTTCTATTACTTTAGAGAGATTTAGCAATGTTAAATAATGGGATAATTATGGTTGCAAAAGACTTGAGATACTTAGACTCATTGAGAATTAATAATGATCATTGAGATAATTATTATTTTATATAGTACTTCTGTATCTGTAATTCAGCTTATAAAAGAGGTATTGGAAGAACGAAAGATGGAAGCAAGCGGGTAGTGGCACTGAGGTTATGTCAAAATTTAGCCTTCATGCCCTTTATTATTCCATCCTCCAAGGGTGATCACTCTTCGGGGCTGACATTTCCTATGCAGTTTATACACTACTCTATTCTTATGATTTATTTTTGAGAAGCATTGCTTGAATTCACATAAATTTGGTCTCTTTAGAAGTCAGTCAGATTGAGGAGGGCAGTTAAAGGGATAAATATCTCAGGGTAAATTTTAGAAGGCATTGTCCCTGAGAATAAATAATTTTAAAATTTATGAGTATAACCATGCCTTCCACTGAAGGTTAGCTTTTCTCTCCATCTCACCTTTGTAAACTCAGTTATTGTTGGAAATACTTGTTGATATGAAGTGCTGTCCATAAGCATTGTTTAGAGTTATCTTCCCATCCACCTTCACCACAACACTTGTTTTCTTTTTTGCTCAACTGAAAAAAGGTTAAGGTACTTGTGTGATCTTTGTTTCAAACACAATGCTAGGATGAGGAGTGCAATGCAAGAGAATACTTTGTTTTCTTTCGTTAGAATAATGCATAGCAAATGGCACAGATGTGTAGTCACCTTTGTTATTAACTTTATGTGATTTTTACACCAAATCCACACTAACTAGCACAGGTATTCTTGAGGAGAATGCATAGATGAAAATTAAGGCAAAATAAAAGAGAACACCTAGCCTATTTAGGGCTCTGTTTTCCTTCATGGACATCTGAAGAAAACTATTAAAATATTTCTTGGACAAGAGAAATGGAGTAATTATGGTATCATGAACTATTTTCTTGAATAATCTATCTTCTGTAAGTGCAATGATGTTTTTAGATATTTTAAAGGTTGAAATTTACTTAAACTTTTTTACTTGTTAAAAAAGTAAGATTGATTATTTATTACATACAAATGTGAAGCTCTCACATTTTATTATTGTGTGAACTTGTGAATAGTATGTATCGCCACCACTACTGTTATTCTTGGAGCATATGCATTTATATATATATATTTTTGCTGCCCATGAATTCTCTGAATCATAGATTTAGGGAATTGAGCAGAATTGGCATTTTTTAAAGGCATAATTATTTCCACAAGTCATAGCTAAATAGAAACATCTTTTTATCATTCTCAACATTCACATTTATGAAGGTGGTTAGTTAAAATATGGAGGTTTCATTTATAATTTTGAATAAGTAATTCACATTCTATTTTAATATTTCTAATAGATTACATAGTACATTATAATAAGAATAATTAGAGAAGATACTAACTTAAACTCACAAAGCTAGAAAGTGAATAGTCAGATGTGTAGACCGGTGAAGAATGTGCACATTCTAACTCACACCATTGTATGAATTAGAAAGCTTAGTTGATTATGTGCTAATTAAATGTATTGCATAAGCATTATACTGAAATATAAGGAGAAAAACAGTAAAGGAAGAAAGAATATATTTAAAATATAAATGTATTTTGTATTCACTGAGGTAGTATTTGTTTTTTCCTTTTTGGTGTTTACTAGTTTCTTTGAATCCTAGAAATTTTGTCCATTCCAAATACCTTAAACACTCCCTTAACTTCAATCCTTTTGATTTGGCAATTCTTTAAGTCTTACCTGTAATGTTACTTCTGCAGGGGAAACTGGCCTGATATTCCAACATGAATTACATGTTTTCATATACTTTAGTAGTTTTCTGTACTTATCTTTCATAACAAATATCACCTCTGTAACAATTATGAACGTGATTATTTAGGGCAAACCTTCCCCTCGGGGCTCCATGAAGCCAGAGAAATGTGCAGTGTCGAATAGTGGGATATTGTATAATATGTGTTGAATATGTAATTACAATTATGTGTTACAATGGCATGGTGCATTGTAGTTTTATAAGGGTTTTCAAGTCCTTTTTAGTAGTAGAAGATTCAGGAAAGTTCCCCAAAAGCAAACAAATGAAAGTAAAAATATACTACCCAGGTTCAGTGAGAGGGTATGAAGCTATTGTTTTCATTTCTTACCTGGAACTTACAGTACACATAGAATATTATAGCCATGAGACATATCTAATGATAAATAGTTCCGTGTTCAAATACTGTCATTTTAGAAGTTGGTATGAGTTTTAGGTTGGGCTTCCAAAAAGCCTATCCTGAGATACATATGCCTGTATAAATTATTTATTAAGGAAGCATTCCCAGATAAATTCAGTGAAGGAGCAAAGGAAGCCAGAGAGTGAAGGGAAAGAAATCAAAGAAGAAGACAATAGTGCAGTTACATGCAAAAATCTCAATGTTGCTTCAGCCTTACATGGCAGGGATGCTCTAGGGTGTAAATTATGCCTCAGTTTCTACCTGAAACACAAGCAAGCAACCGGGCTTCATATTACTAACCCATCAATTTTGGCTTCAGGTTTCAGGACTTTGGAGCTTTTCTGACTCTCTTCCGGCTTTCAGACACCAAGGTCAGTTTTCTGAAGTTGTAACTGTGGGATATGAGAGGCAAAGCAAAAGAAGAGCAAAGGTATGTGAACTGACTCAGAAATACCCTAGTGGGTCTGAAGGAATTTGAGTGGAACACACCCATTTGCTTCTATAGGTGGGACTCTGAAACATTGAGAGAATACTGATGTACTGTGGCCTCATAAGTATGAAGTAGGTATTAAAGCCTGAGACCTCTAGTTTTTATTGTTTCCTTCATTTTTTTTAATTTTAAAATATGCTCTTATTACTATATATGACAGTAGAATGTATTTTGACCTATTATTACATATATGAAGTATAAGTTCCCATTCTTCTGGTTGTATATTATGTGAAATTACATTGGTCACGTATTCATATGTGAACGTAGGAAAGTATTGTCGGATTCATTTTACTCTTTCCTAATTCCATCCCTCCTTCCTTTCCTTCATTCTCCTTCATCTAGTCCAAAGTACTTCTATTCTTCCCTACACTCCTACTCCTTATTTTGAGTTAGCATCTGCATATCAGAGAGAACATTTTTTGCTTTGTTTTTTTGGAGGATTGGCTTATTTCACTTAGCATGATAGTCTCCAATTCTATCCATTTACTGGCAAATACCATAGCTTCATTTCTCTTTATGGCTGAGTAGTATTCCATTGTGTATATATACCATATTTAGTGACATAGCCACACTAATGTTTATAGCAGCTCAATTCACAATAGCTCAGCTGTGGAACAAACCTAGGTGCCCTTCAACAAATGAATGGATAAAGAGACCTCTGTTTTTTAATGCTACCTAAGATTATACCTTTTAGATAAATGACCAGGTGACATATTTCCATATGTAGAAACAAAAAGGTAGGCATATTAATTAAGCACCATTAAGGTAAAAAGTTCTGTATATAAAACTTGAAATTGTCATTTTACTATGTCCCTCATTAAACACTGAAGTCCCTGATCTATATCTACAATCTTGAATTACTTGGGCTAAGAACATAACTCCAGAAACTACTCATTATCTCCCTGGAAGACTCCTTTAATTTCTTTGTTTTTGTTTCAAAATTCTTCGTTTTCACCTGATATTCTAATTCCCTCGATTTTACACTCCCTGATCATATATATCTCAGTGTTTCCAACATAAAGATATCAGCCTAATAAAGTTTTCAATAGCTTATGAGTTGGAAATTTAGGTAATATAATTTTGTTACTAGACAAGATTTATATACATGCTATCTATCTAGTGAGTAAAATAATTATGTTACTTTCAAGATCAATCAATCAACATTAGATTCAAAACTTACACAAATGTACTGGAACACCATTTTACGCCTAAGAACATCAGGTATAAAAAGTTGGGAAGTTCTGAAATAGCTACATTTGACATAGGATGTTTCCTGCTGATACTTTTCTTATCCTCAAATTCTAGAAAACTATAATTTCAATATTTAGTGTTTCCCCCCCCAACTTTGACATTAAGTTTGCTGTTTCATGCTATCTCTGATATAGTTAGGCTATGACGATTTATTTGCATCTTTCTTTCATAAATCTTCATGAGTTCTGATACTGCTCATTCATTTCTGGTCCCATTATCATCTGGAGAATAAAGCAAGAATGATTTACAGGGTGACTGAAGGCTCAGGCTGGTGGCCTCCTTCACAGTTTCCTGTGCCTCTTATGTGCATATGCATAGATCACACTGACACCTTTTACAAGGCTAGGCATTTGTTTATTAACACCCTCATCGGAATCTCTCTGTGGTGGTTCCACTGTAGACTGAATTAATTAGATTTTTTTTTTCTTTTACTGTTAGCATAGAAAAATGATATTGGAAATTTGCTCCTACTTTTTAACAACCTTAAAATTGTTTTCTATTGGTATAGGAAGGTAAAACAAAGATGACAAACTAATTGTTATGCAGCAACATTTAGTACATGTTTTTCCAACAAACCTAATAATTCCTCAGAATTTGGCATGTTGCATTTGAAAAATAAAGTTCTTTGACACCTGATAGTTCTGAAATGTTGTTGTCTCCAAAGTGGGATTCAGTTTTAACCATTAATTATTTAAGAGATGAATGAAAATCAAATTATGTGAAACAACTTTATGCATACAATTCTCTTGCTCTACACAGATATAAAATATGAAAGAGCTATTTTGGAGTAAGTTTAAATAATGTGAATGGAAACAATAGTTCCTTCTACACACTCCTTAAATTCTTTATTTCAGATCAGGAAACAGCAGTATTGGATTAATATAAAAATTAAAATGTTAAATGTCCAACCTGGAGGTATAATAGTTGTTCCAAATGGATGATAAATTAATAGTTTTTTTAAATCCAGAAGAGTAGATTAAAAATAGCCAACAATGATTTGTCTTTTCTCATTAATAAGCATTAAGATACATGCTTATTGTGTAGTAGACCATATTATATAATTTATTAACATAAAATTTTCAGTGATAATTTTAAAGTAAAAGACATAGTTATGCTACCTAAGATTATACCTTTAATTATTTAAGAGATGAATGAAAATAAAATTATAGTCCTTTCCTCTTAGAACATTATTTGTTCTTTATCTTTTAGATATTAAATTTTAAAAGAAGAGATAATTACTAAATTAAACTGAATAATTATCTCCTGTAGTATTTAATCTAATACTTTTTACTTTAAATTTTTAAAATTTTGATTCATATTTTTTGTTTAATTGAACACTGTGTAAGCGTATAATGTACAAAATATTGTCTTGAAGCTTGCATACATTATCTATCAGCTAAATTGACCTAATTAACATATATATTACTTGCTATATTATTATTTGGTGATGACAACTCAAAAGCCACTCTTTTAAAAATTTTAAAGAATACGTTTTTAAATCAACAATAGTCACTATATTGCAAAATAAATCCTTTTGCCTATTTCTCCTGAGACTTTGTATCATTTGAATAGTAATTCCTCAACCTCTCTCTACCTCCAAGCTCCTGGTAATCACCATTCCACTCTCCACTTTTACTATGAGTTCAACATTTTTAGATTTCACATATAAGTGAGATTATGCTATATTTGTCACTCTGTGAATGCTTTATTTCACTTAACAGAATGTCTTACAAATTCATCCATATTGTCACTAATGACTACATTTAATCTAATATTTTTACTTTTTTAAAGGCTGAATAGTATTCTATGGAGGGGTGTGTGTGTGTGTGTGTGTGTGTGTGTGTGTGTGTGTGTGTCCTTCACAGTTTATTTGATCATTCATCTTCTCATAGACACTTAGGTTAATTCCATATCTTGGCTATTGTGAATAATTATTCAGTGATCATGACTGTGCAGAAAACTTCTCTATAATGATTTCCTTTTCTTTTTTTTTTTTAAGAAAGAATGAGAGAGGAGAGAGAGAGAGAATTTTTAATATTTATTTTTCAGTTCTCGGCGGGCACAACATCTTTGTTGGTATGTGGTGCTGAGGATCGAACCCGGGTCGCACGCATACCAAGCGAGCGCACTACCGCTTGAGCCACATCCCCAGCCCCATTGATTTCCTTTTCACTAGACATATAACCCCTGAGAGAACTGCTGGATGATATGGTGGTTTGACTTAAAATTTTTGAAGACTATCCACACTTTAATTTATAAGAGCTATACTAATAAATAAAAGCCTTCTGACAATTTACAAGGTTTTCTTTTCCTCCACATCCTCACCAATACTTTGCATCTTTTGATTTTTTGTAAAAATCATTCTAATAGGTATGAGTTGACATCTGGTAGTTTGAATATGCATTTCTGTGATTATTATTGATGCTGAACATTTTTTATATACATGTTGAAAACTTATATGCCTTGTTTTTTTGAGAAATGTGTACTCATGTCCTTTTCCCATTTCTTAATCTGATTATTTGCTTCCTCACTATCCAATTGTTTATGTTCTTATATAATCATCTCTCCATATGTGTGGGTTCTGCATCTGTGGATTCCACCAAAGACTAAAAATATTCAAAATTAATTGTGTTTGTACTGAACATGTACAGACTTTTCTTGTCATTCCTCCCTGAAAATTATAGCATAAGAGCTATTTACCTAGTATTTACTTTGCATTAGGTGTTAAAACTAACCTAGAGATTGTTTAAAGTGTATGAATGGATGTGCATAGGTTGTGTGAAAATACTTTAATTATATGAAGGAACTTGAGTAACTGTGGATTTTGTGTGCAAAATATTCTGGAAACAATACCTTATGGATGTTGAGGGACAACTGTATATTTTGTGTATGAATCAGTTTGTTTTTACATATTGGTTTGCAAATATTTTCAGCTATTACATAGGTTGTCTTTTCACTATGTTGATACTTTGCTTGGCTATGTAAGAGCTTTCTAGTTTGAAGTAAACAGATCTGTTAATTTTTTACTTTCATTTCTTGTGCTTTTGGTGTCATATAAAAAGATTATTGCCAAGTTCAGTGCCATGAAGATTTTCCCCTGGATTTCCTTCTAGTTGTGGTCTTATATTCAAGTCTTGAATCACCTTGTATCAGAAAACGGTTCAGTTTCAATATTTTGAATGTTGATATCCTGTTTTTTCAATGATATTTATTTACATTTGAGTCTAATTCATTTTTGTACCTATGATATGTACTAGGACCTACTTTCATTCTTCTACATGTAGATATCTGGTTATAGCAATAACACTAATTTGAAACAACCTTTTCTCCCCACTGTGTGTTCTTAATAACTTAAAAAAATGGCTATACATGCTTAGATTTATTTGTGGTCTCTCTACTATGACCCATTGCCCTATATATCAGTTTTTATGCTGGTACAATACAGAATTTAGTTTTGTTTACAATAACTTTATCAACTATTTTCTTCCTTTATTGAGGAGGATACCAGGGATTGGACTCAGGGGACACTTGACCACTGAGCCACATTCCTAGCCATATTTTGTATTTTATTTAGTGACAGGGTCTCACTGAGTTGCTTAGTGCTTGCTTTTCCTGAGACTGGCTTTGATCTCATTATTCTCCTGTCTCAGCCTCCTGAGCTTCTGGATATAATCTATTTTTAAATTAAG